ATTTATAGTCTCCGTAATTTTGATCTACTTATCCTGATGTGTACAGGTACCATGCACAAAACTCTCTACTGTACTGAAAACAAAAGGGGCAAAGTAAGCAAGTAGTTTTTCTAAACAACTGAGTATAACCATATGAATTTCTCCTCGTTCCAGATTTTTCACAGTGGTTCTATAACACAACTACCACAGCAGCCATATTTCTTTCTCAGTCTGCAATATTCTGAATTTTTGTTTTTCAGAATTTTACACCCTTCCTCTGGGGAATAGTAATTATCCCCTGCTTTTCACAATCTTTTATTTTCTTTTAACTGTTGAATGCTTGGAGGCTTGTCCATAGGACATGGCATCTAAAAATGAAAGCTATTAACAACTCTACATCCCAAAATCATAGCAAGGTCTAATCACACCTTACCTCAGAGTTACAGAGCCTTGCAGCTCTACCAATACACAGTTAGCAAGATTAATTAATTAGATCTTTGTGTACTAGGACTGTGATGTGTTGCAGATGGCAGTGTATTCCTTAGAATCTTTTCTGGGAAGCGATGTTACTTACGCTTCTCTTTCTTTGCATCTCACATTGAAATTGTATGCTTGGTAATTTCTTCCCTCCAGTAGTTTTCTACATGAATAAGCTGTATCAGAGAGCACCATTGGAATTCATGCATATGCTTATTTTTTTCTACATTAAGCTTATTTTATCCTGTGAGAGGGTCATGCTTGTCAAGCATAATGTGATATTTGGATAATTTTGACTTAGGGTGGTTTTCTTTTTTCTTTATTTTTTTTTTTAAGAGTGAAATCTTAGTATTACAAGCTTGCAAGGAACGGGTATATCTAAAATCACTGGGCAGTGGCTGCACAAATCCACTTTGGTCTAGTCTGAATTTCTCACTGTAATAGTATTCTTATTTTTGCAGTAACTTAAAATTTGCTTTTAACAGTAAAAAGCAATTTCACATCAGACTTTATAGAAGAGCACTAATACTATTTGTATGGAAAACCACTTCTAAATTCCCTGATTGCAGTGAAACAGGGATACTTGCTTGCAAGTTTCTTGTAAATATTTCAATTTCTTAATCTAGAAAACCCTTTCTTCTTGATAATCCACAGTAAAGTTATTTATTCTGTGAATAAGTTCTCTTAAAATAATGTCTTCTTCTGAGAAAACAAGGTGAACATTCTTTCCTTCCTAAGCAAAATTATTTACCTCTTTTTATTTTGGCAGCCCAAATAAATGATCAGGATGAACAGTTTCAGAAAATGCAAGCTAGTTTTAAATAGCTATGTCAGTTCATCACTGTACACACTTAGACCCACAGTTCTCTGCCACCAGTCAAACCAGCCTATCATGAAGGCACTTCAAAGAAATGTGGGAACTTCCCTTTGTGTATATGGTCAATTACAAAGTAAAGTGCCATAGGAAAAATCCTTCAAGTGTCTCTGTTTATTTTTTAGGATGGTACTGTATGTATATCTATATATATATTTATATAATCTTCACTTAACATTTAATAAGAGACCAGAAAAAACCCTTTGTGTGATATTCAATAAATACATTCATGTGAGTACAAAGAAGCCTTAGTAGATCAGAAAAAGTCACAGAATTGGGTATTTTAAATGTGGTTAGGAAATGTACAAGCACACACTTATTGCTTACTTCTGAGGAGGGAGAAAATAACCCCCATTGTCATTGCATCTGACAATCTTGTACATTCCAAGGAATTGTTTTGTCTTTGACAGATATGACTCCTCTCTTTTTCTTTCTGGAAAAAAAATGGAAGCTGTAAAAAGTTTACAGATGACAGACTGAAATAGCAAGGAAGCCATTACAGTAGCTTCAACAGAAATCTTTATTAATATTACTATAATTGACTACCTATACAAATTCACATTACTAATAACCCCTGCAGAAAAAAAACTTCCTTAGTAAATAGGAACATTTTGATTAAATTAAAGATGGAGATCAGTCAACTAATGTCATGCTTTAATGTCACTACTGTATTCTATCAGTCTGGAACTCTGCCACTTTACCAACTGAACTGTGTAATAAAAAGTTCTCAAATCATATTAAGTACCACAGAAGCATAAAACATGACATGTATCAAGATTTTTTTATCAGTCATTGGAGAAAAAGTCAGCAAGGAGAACAGGTTTATCCTAGAAGCAAACAAAACTTTAATTCTTCAGCATCCACAGTAGCCCAGTATTGAGAACCATATAGAACACATGATGTAATGTTATGAAAAGTGTCTGTTATATGCACAGTACAGCTAAAATTAAGATTATCCTAAGAGTCAAATAAAAGAAGTTATTAAATATTCCATGAAACCAGCAACAAGTTTATTTAATGTTTGATTTAGTTCTAATAAATTTTGCAAGCCTAAAAATCAATGCAATTGAATGCTTGAAATGTGCCATTAAGGTCTAATCTGCCCTCAGAAGTTGCTGATGCAACCATTACATTACTAATAAAGATGGCAGTTATTCTGGTAAGATTATTTTTTTTTAATTTTTGTGAAATAGTAGCTTACACAAGTTTGTTGAACAAAATAAGCTACATCAGCAAATAAAACGTATTTTTGCTTGTTCACACCTATGCCAGTTAGAAGTGCAGTGTCTTTTTCCTCACATTCTTGCAGAAAAACATTATCTGAAGTAATTTAAGCATAGCCAAGAGTTTTTAAAGTGCATTTCTATAGTGTCTCCAAAGAATCTTTTGAGCCAGTCCTAAACTTCCCCTTGTCCTTTGAGCACAGTCAAAACTGACACAAGTGAGAGCTTGAAAAGGATAGCACCTAGTGACAACTGGCACTTCAGGGTTGTGTGATGGGCTGATGATAAGGGAAAGCAAGATAAGGCTTTGCAATCCCAGTGACAGGCTTACTGAAATCAAATCTAAAGTCTGCAGAGGTAGATAATGCTGCAAATTTTTGCTGTGTGCTCTCTGGAATCTCACATTTATGCTATCAATATTAAGATGGAAAAAAAGAGAAGCACAACTTAGGATGAAAATAGCTTTACACCACAATTACACGTCCTCAGTCTTAGCAGCTGATGGGAGCTCCTGATGTACAACTGCCTCAGTGGCACCCTCTAAGTTGCAGTGAGTCAGTCTCCTGCTGCTGACAGCCTAAAATCACCATAGCACAGGCCAAGACTGTCACACACACTGGCATTAAACTCTACCTTCTTGGGCCCCTTCCATCAGTTTTCTGGACACAACACTGTCCTGGTGTAAACACACAATCATGAGTGGAGTTGTGTCAAGACCACATCCACTCAGCATAGCAGTCATACACCACAATGCAACTTGTTATTGTGTGAAAAAGCAGTCTGTTCCTCTGAGCCAAGAGGTGCATTGCAAGGTCATTCTGGAGACAGGCTTCAGAAGAGGCCAGGGCATCACAGACTGTAAGAAATAGATTATATAGCTTGTTCTAAGGTAATGTCTGCATCTGAGTTACCCGAACAAATAAAATTAAGAAATTAATATGGTTCTGCTTGGTTTGGACTGAAAAAAACCCTATGAAAAAGCTTTATTAACCTGACAGGAATTAAATTGTTTTTAAAACACACACTAGGTTCAAAAAGCGTTTCAGCTTTCTGCAGTAAAGGAGAGTATGCTCTGTTAGACAGAATGGGTTTGCATGGACAGCAGCAAATAGCATCAGAGACCCTCCCTTGCATGGATCTCTACCAAGGAAATTTTGGTTTTAGCTCAGCAAACAGGTCCATGCAGGCCTCAGAGACAACAGTGGGATGTCCAGATACTTCCCCCAATCTGGAAGTTGCTGATTGACTCCTGTTAAAAATAGCCTGTTCATCTAAAAGGCAAGAAAGACAGGATCTTTTTTACTCTTTCAGCATATATGTAAAACATTGGTGCATAAAGTAAGATGTTCAGAAGGGCAATGGTACACGAAAAACAGAAATAATGGCAATTAAAACAAGAGGATAAAATGTCTTCATTAAGAAGTGGTTTTTATCTCAGTAATGCACTTAAAGAAGTACAGAAGATGATGCATAAAATGGACATAAGTTAATTTGTTAATACCAGATGGACAGAATATAATAGTTCAAAACTATAGAGCTAAATTTGGAATAACTGTCATTATTCAGCAAATTTAAATAGATTTAGGAATCCCTATTGAATTAGGAATAGGAATCACATAACAGACTTTTAAAGAAGTTTTGAATATACACCCATGTTCCACTGTAAGTCTTTATGCAAGGTACTGTTGTCAGATTTCTTAACTCTTTTGTATATAAATACTTAAAACAAATTTATGTCCCAAACTTGCAAATGTAAAAGTGAAAAGCAATATTTTGAGCTTCTCTAATACACAGTCCTTTTACAAAGAAACCTTTGACAGCTTACCTGCTTCTTCCAGGTTTATCAGCTTTCAAATAAACTTCACTTCCCATATCTGTAGATTGTCTGATCTAAAAAATTTTCACCACTACAACCAGATTAAGACTAGATTTTTTTGGGAAGAATTTCTATATGAGATTTTTTTTTCTAACTAACAGACATAACATTCAAATATCTAATGATAACAAATAACACTCAATATTTAAACTAAGTCTCATCATTCTTTTAGTCAGTACTTCCTACCATTTTAAGGTGTATGTTATTTTCTTAATAGTATTGCACAAATGTAAATGACTACTTCAATAACAAGGTCACTGGCATTCTGTTAATGTTGTTGAGATGAAAATCCAGCCCACACTTACTCTCTTACGTGTGGGCAGCAAGAGTTTTTTCAGCCAGCTAATGATGACTAGATACACAGAAGGAGAAAGCAACATGTTGGCTTTACAGTTCTTGGTTTTAAGGCAGAGTAAGATCTCTACAGGTTTTCAAACTAATCTGATATAGTGTGTACGTAAGATACATACTTCCCAGTTAGTAAACTAAGAGCATTGTTTAAGTACAACAATTAATGCCACCTCCTTAATCTTCCTAATCATTTCAAGTTAGTTATCCCTCATTGCTCATAATGCCTGAGCTCTTCAAAGTCAAAGAAGCCATTAATGGTATCTTGAGAGGTGGAGATGTACACTGGACATCAATCTGGACGTCCAGCTGCCATTTGAGTTTTTTAAAGCGTTTGCTATACAGAATTTCAGGACATTTGTGTACATCAGATTCCTTGGTGGAAATGGAAGGCCATTGAACTCATTAACTACAGTAATACAACGATGGTGTTTCTAATTAAAATCTATTGCACTTGTTAAGTATGGCACTTGTCTTCTCTGCTTCCTGTGTTGTGAATGCAGCCTACTGCAGTCTTGAAGTATCTATTATACATTCACACACAAAATAATCACTGAAATGCTCATCTCTGAGCCATAAAGTGACAGTATTATTCACATTATTTCTTCCCAGGTGACAGTGCCACTTTAGGATCTCAACTCTGGGTAAGGATTACAACTCATACTATTCACGTTAGAGCAACTTAATGAAAAGTTGTCACTTCAGCATGGATTTGTTCTTATCTGCGTGCTTAAACAGGGTATCCCAGGCCAAAGTATTTTGCACCACCATTGATCAATGTGTCCAGCTAGGTGCCACCCCTCATTGCAGGGATGTTTGTGCTGAGGGTCTCTGTACTGTACCAGGTGTTAAAACTTATTCCAAATGCACTTCTCAGACACCACTGTCTTCTGCTGCTGTTAGTGCTGAGCTTGAGAAGGAAGGCACGGAACAGATTAAAGCCATGACAACTGTGTCACACCTGAGGCCACCACAGAGTTGCGTGTTCAGCTATTTGTGCTTAAGCACACAGAAGGCGGGAACCCCCTAAAATCATGTAATACTTTTAGATTGGCTTCATCACCATATGATTTTTAAGCACACTTCAGTTGTTTTTGTCACATGGAAATAAATAAAAAAGGGGTTGCCTTCCTGTGGCCTCACCAGGGTTTTTAGGTGCGCCTGCCCGTGCAGGTGCTCGGGGTGGCTGCTGTGGTCCCGCGGCGGGAGCTGCCTTCCAGCCATCCCTCCTGAGGGAGCCTTAGCGGGACGCGCTGTCCCCCTTTCCCTCAGCGCTGCTGTCGCCCTCAGCTCACCCGTACCTATGCTCGCCTCGTCTCACCCCACCCTCCTACTGACCTTCCCCCTCACGGGGCCGCCCCGGCAGGCGCTGAGGCGTTTGCCCCGGAGCTCGGTTACTGAGGCCCCACAACCGACACCGTTAGCCGGGAGGGCGATTAAAATAACATGGGTCTCCTCTAGGCGCTAATGGGATTAGAGGCGAGGCCGGCGAGGCGCGGGCAGCGCTGCGGCCATGGCGCTCCTCTGATGGCGGGAGGGCAGCGGCGGCTGCGCTTCATGGGCGGGGGCGGGATACCCCAGGTAACCGGGGAGGGCAGCGTGGCGGGAGCGCCCCGGCGGCGGGCAGGGATGGTGGGGAAGGCCTGCTCGCCCCGGGGGCGAGGGGAGGCGGCGGCCGCCCAGAGATAGCCCAGGTGAGGAGAAGGCGAAGCGGGGGGCCTGGTCGGGGGCGGGGAGCGCGGGGCGGCGGGAGAGAGGGAGGCGCGGCAGTGGGTCGGGGGAAAAGCGCGGGGGGCTGCGAGGAAGGGAGTGCGACAGCGGGAGGAGGAGAGGAGCGCGGGCCCGGGGGAGGGCAGAGCGCGGCGGGAGGCGGAGGAGAGCGTCAGCTGGAGCGGGGATAGCGGGAGCGCGGCGGGAGGCGGAGGAGGAGAGCGTCAGCTGGGGGCAGAGATAGAGGGAGTGCGGCAGGAGGAGGAGGAGGAGAGCGTGAGCCGGGGGGGCAGAGAGAGAGGGAGCGCGGCAGGAGGAGGAGGAGGGGAAGAAGCGCGACGCAGGGACGGCAGATGCCTGGAAATAAAAATTTGATGATTGCATGCAGCGGCTGGAGAGACTCTGTCGGTGGCGGCGGCGGGGACGAGGCAGGGACAGGGGGGGCGACGGCAAAATGAAGTATCAGAAATACCTGACTGTCTTGCAGATGGCCATAGGGGTGACCGCCTCCAACAGGGGCAGTCTGATGCCCTTAAAGAGGAAGCTGTGGTGAGTAGGCACAAACGGGGCCGCGGGCACTGCGGGCCGGGCCGAGCGCGGGCCGCGGCGGGACGGGCGGGCTCGGCGGCGGGGGGTCCCCGCGGACATGAGGGGCGCCGTGCCCGGACCCGGCCTGCGGCTCCCGGCGGGCATCGCCGGGGCACAAAGTTCCCGGCGGATTCGCCGCCAGCCCTATGGAATCGCCGGGAGGCGTTGGCGGAGCTGTCCGCGCCCGGCCCGGCGGAGGACGCGGCTGGAGCAGGCGCTGCCGGACCCGGCACAGCGGCAATGGCAGCGCGGGCTGAGGGCGCGGGAGCCGCTCCGGCGGGGGCACCGCTTGCGTGACAGCCCGAGTGTTGCCGCCGATGTAGCGCAGTGTGCTCCCGGCCCGGGCTGGGCACAGCCGGCTCCGAATTCCCTGCCTTGCTGCTGCTGACAGGTGTACCGAGAAAATGCGAACAGGGAGACGCAGGTCTAATAGATCAGTGAGCGCCAGAGGTAGTGCTGTTCAAATATGGTCATTTTTCCTTAAACCCTGCGTTTCCCCTCACTGATTCCCACTCCTTTTGTGCCTGCTGATTGTGTGCTGAACTGATTTTTCTGGATGAATCAACAAGACGTTATGAAAAATGTATTAAAGTATAGTGGTGTAATGTGGGTGAGTAGGGCACCGACAGGAGTGTGGCACTGCGATACCCGGTCACTCGTGGGCAGACAAGAACCCACTGCTAGCTCGATGGGAGCGGTGGGACGTGTGTCATCATCGGGACAAATCATAAGGAGGAAATATGTGAACTTGTCAGATCTTCTGAGAGGAAGATATCAATCACAAATTTGTACACTGAGAATTTCTTACCTGTAAAAAACCAGGAGTGATATTTAGGTGGTAGTGGTCATACAGTTCTTTCACTGTACTTATCTGGTCCTAGTGAAGCAAAGTAAAGTGTCACAGAAGGCATGATAGGTCATTTTATTCAAACATGGATACTTTGCAAATAAAAATATTTTCGTGTCAGCAGTTATAGCAAAAATGGGCCTTACATGAATTGTACAATGTGGGTTTCTTATATCTTTATATCACAGTTTCAACTAGTATAGGCAGTGTCAAGAAAATTGAAGAAACATGATGTGGAACTAGTAAGCTTTCTATCATTAATTCCAGATCAGATAGGACACAGTTTGATGAATCTGTTCATTCTGATTGTAATGAAAAAAATCAAATTAAGTTTTAGACAAAGATATGTTGCCATGCAAATAAGGTTTATTACATGTAATCAGAGATTTTTGCAATGTATTTTGTGGTTTGATTCTGATTATGTAAGTTACATAAAGTGTACCATACCTATTTTATTCTCCCCAAATGCATCTCCTGTCTGTGTGCAGCAGGAGATGCAGTTGTGTGTTACATCTTTTGAGAAGTTTAATTATGGGAAATGTAATCATAGCAGTTGTTCTATTTAATATTTTGTATGTCTTCTTGGAAATGTTTTATTTGCTGGCCTGTTAAGGGAAAGCTATATATATTTGTGTGCTTTAAAAGTACATCTGAGAGGACCTGATTCAACTCCTACTCTGTCTTCAGTTGGAGTTAGATCTGCTCTATATTTTCTTGTTTCATGGTGAGATTCTGTGCTTTTTGAGGCACAGCAAAATATTATAGTGGCTCCACACTAATACATACCACAAGCATTGCATTTCATAACATTTCCAACTTGACATCATGTTACTGCAATGCTGTGTGAAGATTTAATTGACTAAAAGTGTTAAAGAAAAATAAGGCAAGCTTTTTTTTCTAGTTTTAGGCAGATGTGTGAATTACTTGAGCATTTGAAAGTATGTCTCTGGGATATTCTTGTTAATAGGTGACATGATATGTATTCTCATTTTCTTTAAGAACTTTAATAGCATTAGGCATTATCTGTATGGATAGATTTTATGCTTATGGATAAAATACTATTCTCTGATGCACTTAGAGAAGTGCTTAAAGATACTTTGTCATGTTAATTTTTTCTTATTTGTGCGCAATCTGTATCAAATAATGCATTAAGAAAATCTGAACATTAGAGAGAAAATACGTTGCTTTTACTCAAATCAATGTGGAACTAGTGTTTGTGTATATTTACAGTACATAAACCAAAAGCATAGCCCAATACTGTATCACTGGAAATCTCCAAAATACCTAAAGAAAACACATAAATCTACTCTGTGTATAGTCAGAGGGTGCTTTTTAATCTATTTTTATTTGTTTATTTTTAAAAGCTTAAAAAATTCTGTTTAACCAATGAGAATCATAAGGTCTTTGATGTGTGAATCCATACTGTAAGTGGAAACGAAGCCATAATTTAATAAAAAAAAAGGGTTAAAATACTCATCCTTTTGTTGGTGGAGATAATCCACCAGAATCCTACTGAAAGAAAATGAAAAAGGTAGCAGCAATGTTTTATTTCTTTAGAGAGCATCTGCCACTCCAATTTTCCCCTGATTTCCCCCTCACCAAAATCCAAGTCCTATTCTGTGATGTGTGGAAGCAGAGCTACAAATGAAAATACCAATATCTCATGATGGGTTAAGAATAAATAGTTATTAAGTGACTAAGAATAAACCAGGCAATTAAACTGAGAGAACAAAGCTGTGCCACAGGCTTGCAGTAAGAGGTGGAGGAGGCAGAAACCTGCTTTGTGTGGAGTTTATAATTTTATGATGAGGTTTACTTGGGGCAGTAGTTTTGGACTCAGTGCTGGAGGAAGCTGCTGGAGTCCTGAACTGCTGATTCAGACCCTTTCCTGTGTGTGTGCAGTGTTGTAATCTAATATGTAGGAGCCCAAACGAGATGAGTAGGATGTTTTTAATCCTCTTGCTGGAGGGACAGTATTTGGATACAAAAGCCACCATCATAACTCTGCTAGTACAGGTTGAATGCAGCAGGGACTAACATCTGCAAAGGCGGTTAAGGACAGTTGAACTGGGAGTAGTTTAAAAATAGTAAATTTTTATAAATATTTACTGACATCCCAGTATGTGCAACCTGAGTCCTTTTACAATAGGGAAATGCTAAGTCACATTATTAAGGGGAGCTACACAGGTAGACCATAATTTCTTGTCAAACTGATTGTTAAGTTTCTCTGCTGCAAGAACAGTGCAGGCAAATAAATAAACAAACAAAAAAGGAAAAAACAACAACAAAACCCCCAACAGGGTATCATATCCATTCTAATAGTTCTTCTCACTAACATTTCCTTCTGTTTCTCACAGCATTTGCCTTTACTCTGAAAGAGTTCCTGTGCTTTGGCAAATACCCCTGCTGTTCCCCTTGGTGCAGGGGAGTGCAGCATCATGAAAAAAGGTGAAAAGCTCAGTTAGTGATAAGTTTTCATTGGGGAGATTATGGAAATGGCTGAGACTATTCCATATTTACATTCTTTTAAGAATGATTGGTAGTTGTCTTAGGCAATCTAGGTTACAGCGAAGAATGTAGGTGCAGTGCACTACAGAATTTAAATTTGAATTTGACAGGATCCAGTTCCCCTGTTTGGTGATATTGTTAAAAGAATGTGCGATACAGAAACCTGGATGTTAAATGATAGCTGCTTCTTGTAAGATACTGCACAGGCACATTTATTTTCAAGTGTAGGAGTATTTGAAATCAGTGAGGAGTAATCAGCATGTCTGGAATTAAGCAATGATCTGAATGCTTTGTTGTCTCAGACTCTTTGTATTTAAGCTTGGTCTTGGCTGTAGAAGCCCAGGCTTATAATGAAGAATGTCTGTTTTATCATTAGGACCATCCCTAGGGAGAAAAGTGCCATTGTTTGTTTATGTTCCAAGTAGTGTCATATTTAGTATAATTAAATAATGGAAAATGTCACCTTATTGCAGGAGAAAGAAAACATCAAAGATTGATATTCTTGGTGTTGCTACAGAACTCTATGGAAAAGTACAGATCCTCAGAATGGATATTTTCCATTTTTGATTGCTAGTTCCATTTAATATTGTTTGAAATGAGGATAAAATTTTCAGTTTAGCCTGTTGTAAAGCTTTATTTATGTTGAAAGTTAATTAATACTTTTTTTTTTCCCTAAGGGAGGCAGGATACCATCCTTAGAATCAACATACTTGCAGAGGTGCACAAGTATTCAGCATAGCAACTGAATGCTTGGTGTCTCTAGCATTGTTTCAAACTTACCTTTTATTTTCTCAAAAAAACTACTAATGTTGAGTAACTATAATTGTTAGGATTTCCAGTCTGATCAGTGGGAGTAAATTTCAGCTTTTCCAGCCTTATGTTTGAGCCAGAAGCCAGTGATCACACCGAGCTGAGCCCAGCCTGCGTCCTCACTTTCAGTGGTGCTGAGGAAACCTGGCTTCTAATGGGAGGTATAATAATTATGGGAACTTTATACATCTCTCTGCTGAGATCTGTGTAGCTACCAGAGGCAGAACTTCCTGAGAAGTTTGCCTTGGATGTTGCTACAAGAACTTAAATGCTTTCTTTATAGGATAGGCAGGCAACTTGCAGTATATGAAAAATGTAATAATTATGTCACCATTAGAAGTCATGTTGAGGCTGCATAGTTGTCAAAACCTTGTGCAGTCTGCATTAACTCTAGTGCTAGTACTGCACTTGGAAAACAAACACAGAAAATGTGTCATT